CTTTGACCCCACCTCCGCTTATACCCATTGTATTGGTTAGCTCATTCCATTTAATTACCTTTGCCAATATTCCGGAGTTTAACTTCCGAGTTCGGACTTTCTGGACTTACTCCGGACCTTGCAACTATTGCATTGTCCATTTCAATTCCGCTATTCTCCCTCATTCCTATTTGGGCTGCTGCTTCCTTTCTATTCAGTCAGCTAGCCATTCCCGACTCCCATCCTCCTTCCTTCCTTCTTGGGTCTTGGCCCTTCATTCCTCCTTTGGGAAACACCATTGAGTCAAACACTTGACCCTCGGTGTTGTTCCTCTTTCCATCTCCCTTTGTCTCCTTTTGTCCTACCCTTGTTCCTTTTGATTCCGGACCCCTCCTTATATACAATGTACCTAGTAACTTGTAACCTCAGTCCGAAATCGACTGGAATTCCCCAAGAGACTTTCCCTCTGCTAGATCCGAAATTAGGGACCCCTAGGACAACCAGCAATGGCACAGCGCTCCGCCTGAGTCGCTGAGGCCAAGGTCCTTCCATGCTAAGTCTCCGATTCCATTCCGGAGTCGTCCGAATCCCCGCATTCTAACACTCGGCTTCAGCAACTCGGAATGGTGTGCTGCATCCATTATGTTCTTGTTGTCCCCAATCTGTCAGGGGAGCTGGTGATGGAGGAACCGAGGCCACCAGCAGAAGGGGGCCAGAGGCCCCCTGTCACAGCCATGCATTCCAGCCCGTTAGCTGCCCATCCTGATGCCGCCCAAGCCCATTCCCGCTATGTGAGCATGAGTGCAAGCCCCGACCTCAGCCCTATCCTCCCTGAGGACTCCCTGCTCACTCCCCCGCTTGCCCCTAGGCTCCCCTGCACCTGGCTGACTCCCCCCCAGTGAAAGGTTTGCTTACTATTTTGGGGATGGTACGTTCCATTCCCCTGTTCGCCTCAGGCCTCAGGTAGTCCGTCTAAATATAAGCTTTAATGTGCTGTATATTCAACGGGGTAGAGGTAAAAGGCTACCGGGCCTTTACAACTACTCCGAGGTATATATATGTAATTTACATATCTCGGCACAAATAAATAAAGAAATAAACACATCACTATAATGGGAATTATGGTGATGCAACATAATATAAATATCACTATAATCGGAATTATAGTGAAGTAAGGTTAATCCCTTACACCCAGCCACACCAACCTTCCTGCCCCGAGTCCACCTCCAGCACTGTGCCCAGCGTGACTCCTCTACCCTGCCCACTTGGCCCCTACAGGGCCGCTACCATTCCCACGCCCGACTCCGGCCCAACTCTGAGTCCAGCACCGCTACGATACCATCACCACTATCGCGGCCCTACACTCCTTCCTTTATTTATCTGTTATTGTTTGTTTTGACCCTCGGTCATTGCTGGCCACTGTGTGGCCAACCCCGCTCCTTGTTCCCTTTTGCTTCCGGACCCTTCGGCCTTCGGCCCGGGTCCGCTTCAATTCATTCTGCCTTCATATATATATCCTGTATGTTACTTTATTGTACCTTAGCTCTAATATCGATGTGACCACGACCCCTAAGTCCTGACCCCAACAAGGCAACCCCAGTAAGTCTGAAATGAGGGCCAAGAGACAGCTAGGGGGCACAGCGCTCCTTTAGAGTCACTGAGGCCAAATGCCCTACCCTCAGGCCTTGTTCACGGCATCACGGCCATCACGGCCTATAGCAGCCCGCTAACAGCAACCTTCGGTGCCGACCCTGGATCAGTGTCTAACACCCCCCCTCACTACTTAACAATGGAGGTGTTAGTGAGGGTCAATCATTTGTCATGCAATTCGTTGGGGTTTATACCAAGGTGCCTTTAGACACGTCTGTCACTCAGTTCTTGGTTCAGGGTGGAGTAGCAGATTGTCATATCCCGGAATCCCGACCCCGCGCACTCCCACCACATCACACCTTCCTAACAACCCCACCATCCCCTACACCATGCCTCCCCACTCTCCAAGTCACCTTCCCCCCCTGACTGTCTCAGCTCCGGTCTGGTTGCGGCACACTGAACCTTGGCCACTCCCATCCCGGAACCTCGGTCCCGAGTCGGTACATTCGGAGACCCTGGATTTGCTCCGATATCCTGACGGACCTCCGACACCCTGTGACATGCCCTTAAACCATTCCCCCACCCACTTCATTTATTGGAGTCACCCAACATCCTTCGGATATGCAACTCCGCTTTCGGAGCTACCCGCATCCTTCGGTGATCTCCCTCACGTTATCACTTATTAGTCATCTTCCATTCTTAGCACGACTACCTTCTTACTACCATTCAGTCGGCTAACCCCCTTTACCCATTTGTCTTCCCCATTCATTTTCCGGCCTCCAACTCCGCCCTCCTTGGCCCGACACCTCGGTTCCCCGTTTTAGATATCGTCCGGAACCTTTCGGTACCTCTCGGTATCATTCGGTACCTTTCGGTGTTTTCCCCCATTTTGTCATTTCGGGCTTTGACTAAAGTCCTCCCCATCCTCCTTTATAAATACATGTAGATTAGAACCTGTAGTTCCTCAGTTCTAATCTCGACTAAAATGCCACCCAAAGTCCCTCTGAGTGAATCCTGTCCCTGTTCTACAAGACACCTCAGACATAAGAAATACAAGGACTAACTGAGACGTAACGGAGGCACAGCGCTCCCTCCGAGTCGCTGAGGCCGCATCCTTCTTAGAGCCTCTTGTACCATCCAGCAGAACCGGGCTCCCTGAGAAGCTTCGGTTCACTACCGGAGCCCTCGGACCCCCCTCTAGTTGAGCCCCGCCTGCATTCGGACTCATGCATTTACACCCTCTTCCACAACTCGGGTTTTTAACACAGATGAGTAGAATGCGATAGACATCCTGGGAGAGGGTTTGGATTCGAGGACTTAATATTATAACTGGGGGAACTATTTACTAGAGTGGTATGCACATACATATATCCGAGATAATTGGATCCGAAGGTAAACAAAGGTTACCAAGGGGAAGGAGAAGTAAATAGAAAGATTCCACAGGACAAATATAGAATAGACGAAAAGCCTGAATTATGTCTGAAGTTTGTGGAGTGGGAGGATTAGAAGCCAACTGAATGGTAAGGCCTGGGCCTGTTTATGAATAGTAAGGAGGATGGATAGGCAAGTTCAGGGTTAACAACAACAAGCAGATTCATATCCTTTGAACAAGAGGTCTGAGGAGGTGGAAGTGTGGTAGGGGAGGTCTGGAGGTGATGTGGACGTAGATGGGAGGCAGAGCAGGAGAGAGTTGAAGGAGGAGGTGGTCTTAGGATCGTTGGCATCGACTGGAGGCAGCAGAGAGAGATTGGGAGGGCTGGTGGAGGTCATAGGAGTCGTCTAGGACTAGGGCGGAGGGAGGTGGAAGATCCAGGATATGACAGTCGTGGGGAATGGAACAGAGTTTTTCTTTAATAACTCTGTTTTTACATCAGCAGGAAGAGGGGTCAGGTTCCTTATCCCGATCAGGTTTGCAATATGGTGAACCAGCTCCTCCATGAATCCCTTGGGGACAAACTATTTGGGTCCCCAGAATAGGACCTGAGAGTGGATTCAACAAATCCATCGCAGGGGATAGTTGAGCTCACCACCTGAGGGTGGATAGAGCTCACAACACATGGAACTTGGGAGCTAGGCTCCCTTTCCCTCTTTACTGGGGAAACTACGATGGGATGTGAAGCCCCTCCAAGAGGATCTTGGAGAGTACGGATGGTTGGCTGTGGGGTTGAGACTTCTTGTCTCAACCCCCTGAGAGGAATTTGTTGGGCATCCACCCAACTGGGCCAATCTTGGCCTAATCTTCCAAAGGCCCCACTTTGTGGGTCCTGCATGGTAAATCGACTGTAGGAACCTAGCCTACATCTGATCTCCCAGGCATGATTGTCCAGACCTTCAGGTCTGTGCATGTAGACAGCATCACCATCCATCTGTGTCCCATACTCCACAGACATCTCACTAAGTGCACAGGGAGCAAAGATAGTTCTTTGCTTTTCTTTATTTCGCCCCATGTGTTCATCATGAGGGCAGGCCCGGAACCATGACATAGGTTCCGGGTCAATTGCAGATTGCAATCAGTCTCCCCTTTGTCTGTCAAATTTTCCAAAACAATGGGCACTTCAGGTGCAGGAGGAGACTGAGGAAGTGGCTGTGTCCTTCTGAGGACAACAGGCGGGCCCTTAGGGCCCCAATCGACACTCTTTCCGTTCAGATAAGGAGGGATTCTCCTTGGCGATGAGGTCAAAGGACTCCCAGGCTCGGGTTTGTCAGTGCAAGGGATGTATGTCATCATCCTCACACTGGGATGCCCAGGCACAGGGAGGTAGGTGGTTGTCTTGATGTAGTCTTCGTCAGCAGAGACTTCGTCCTCCAGCAAGTTTTGTCACTGGGTGGGTTCTCTGTCCTGTCCCCTGACTGGTATGGGTGGAGGCACACTTGTCGCCTGTCAGGGCATGCCGCCCTGCACCATGCTGTGCTGCCTCCTTCTCTCTCTCCTGTTGGTCTTTCTTTCTTTTCTTCCTTCCTTCTTTCCTTCTTTCTCCATACAGACGACCTTCTCCTTTATACCTGTAGCCTGGACACATCCAACGCCAGGTACCCTGCATGGGTACCACACCACTGGATGCACTGTGCACCTCTACTTGTATTTCTCTTCTCTGACACTCAGGATCACCTGCAGAGCCACCCATGACAGCCCGGCTCCACCCGGTTCCACTCCACCTGCTACCCCCTTCTCCCCCTTCCTATTTCCTCCTCACTCTACTCCCCCCCTTTCCATTCTCCCTCTGTATCATTCTTTATTCTTTCTATTTCTATTTACACAAATGACTTTCCTTGATCAATGTACTATTGACCCATCCACAGTCCATGCACAACACACCCAGCATGCACACCTGCTGTCATATCCCGGATCTTCCGCCTCCCTCCACTCTATCCCTACACGACTCCTATGACCTCCACCAGCCCTCCCAATCTCTCTCCGCTGCCTCTGGTCAATGCCAATGACCCTAGGACTACCTCCTCCTCCTCCTCTCTCCGACTCTGCCACCCACCTACATCCACAGCACCTCCAGACCTCTACCACCATACCTCCACCTCCTCAGACCCCTTGTTCAAAGGAGATGGGCTTGCTCATTGTTGATGAATCCCAACTTGTCATTCCATCCTCCTTCCTACCTCTGGTCTCCACACCTCCAGTACCTCCTCATTCCTATCTTACCTCCGATCTTGATAATCTTATTGTTTTATCATTTGATATTTTCTACAACCCCAATCTTCCAGGGTTTTCCCCTTTGTTCCCATTTGTCTTCTATTATGTATATAAGTCCTGTACTGTAGTTGATGGCACCTCAGTGCAAAATCGACGACTAGACTACCCCCCAGAGTTTGCGCCCTCCTGTTCTGAAGTTAAGGACCAGACTCCTAAGCATCACCGAACGTAGGCACAGTGCTCCTCTCCGAGTCGCTGAGGCCATGGTCCCTCCACTCGTTCTCTACCTCCAGCCTCCTTCTGGGGAAAGGTCCAGGGACACTGCCCTCCTCACGTGTTCTTGACACCTTCGACCCCAACCACAGCAGAGCAGCTGGGGTCACCATCATCGTTGTTATAGAATGGACCTAGAATCTTATGGTCCGTGACTATAGATGATTAGATTGTTGGGAATTCACCACCTTACTTCACTGTCAAACCCCATGCCAAGCTTTCCCACTGGGTTTTGGTGCTGGCTGGGGGATTTGTTGAGTTTCAAGGGATTTCCTTTGACCATTCATAACTTTTATATTAGATAGTTGAAAGTCATATGACATGTAAGGCAGACACCGAAAGATGTTTTCATTATCGGGTACATAACCCACAAGCCTTGTACTGTGATTGTAACCATCACACCATTGTGCCACCACTGTAAACTCAACCTGTAACCCTGGAACCATGTCCACCTCCCTATTCATCCTTTCCATGACAAAACCACAACGAGGAGGGCATTCCCATGCCCAACCTCCTGCTGCCCGCTCCCACCAGTCCACCAGGTGGTTGAGCGGTCACTCCCATCCAGCCAGTAGTTCCCTATCAGGAACTGTAGCCTATCCCACCTCCTTAGGAGAGGGATATGGTCCAGGCAGCTCCAGGATGCACCTGCAGGTCCCGCTTCCCATGGTCACCCACTACCGTGCACTGGTCCACCAGCCCACTTTCCACAACAACTCCCACTACCGGTACGCTCCCATGAGTGCCAAGTCACCAATAGCCACCAACTGGGTGACTCCCTTTGGGAGTCCCAGTATCCCACACTACCGGTACGCTCCATTGAGTGCCAAGTCACCGCTAGTTGACTGCTCCCAGCACACCCACTACCAGCATGCTCCCAGGAGCGCCAAGTCCCCATTAGCAGACAGCCAGGTGGCTCCCTCAAGGAGCCCATGTTATACTCGCTACCAGTACGCTCCCAGGAGCACCAAGTTACCATTGGCCAACCCACAGGTTGTACTTCCAGACACTCATCCCATTCTGCTCTCCCTCTGATGGCTACACAGCCACCTCTGTTAGTGAGCCAAACAGCTCAGGTTGGGTTCCCCAGAACCCATTCCTGTAACAATCATCAACAAAAACTTCATTAAGTCAAAACGATGAACCTTATTCCTGGCCAGGCACTTCTCACCACAATTGAATGGCTAACTGGAAGCAAGATACAGTCCTAGCTATATATGTGCTGAACACCAGAGGGTCTGGTGCTGAAAATGCATCATTCTGGCACATCAGCAAACCTGGATGCAGAGGCCTGAGAGCTCATAGAGCTCATAGAGCTCTCAGAGCTCTCAGAGCTTCAGTACTTTGAAATTGCAGGTCCCCTTCTCTGAGAGCTCCGAAAAGTAGTCAAAGCTCTGAGAGCTCATAGAGCTATATTTGCACACAGGGGACTATTATCTATATGAGCTCCCTGAGTGTTTAATTTACCCGATATTAAAATTAAAATTTAAAAGCATTGACTATGGCATCATGTGACTAGCCATAGCCAAGTCCCTACCATACAAGGGACTGAACAAACTCAGCTTCACTTTCAGCACCAATGCAGCACCAGACACCAAGGGTATGTAGCCCAATCAATATATAAGCCAAATTTAGGGATATAAATGCAGTTAATCTGAAATTACTTAGGGAAAATGCGGGAAAATGAGTGGGAAAATGAGTGGGGGGGAAATGGGGGGAAAATGAGGGGGGAAATGAGGGGAAAATGGAGGGGGGGAATGGGGTGACATTTGGAGGGGGAAATGAGGAGGGAATTGGGGGGAATGAGGGAGGAAATGGGGGAGGAAATGGGGGGAAATTTAGGGGGGAAGTGGGGGGAAAATGGAGGGGGGAATGGGGTGAAATTTGGAGGGGGGAATGAGGGGGGAATGAGGGGGAAAATGAGGGAGGAAATGGAGGGGGGAAATGGGGGGGGAATGAGGGGAAATTTGAAGGGGGAAATTTGGAGGGGAGAATGGGGGGGAATGGGGGGAAAATTGAGGGGGGAATGGGGGGGGAATGAGGGGAAATTTGGAGGGGGGAATGGGGGAGAAATGGGGGGGAAATTGAGGTGGGAATTGGGGGGGGGAATGAGGGGGAAATCGAAGGGGGGGATGGGGGGGAAATTGAGGGGGGGGGGGATGAAGGGGAAAATGGGAGGAAAATGAGGGGGAACTGGGGGGTTTCTAAAAACTTGAAAAAAAGTCAGGGAAAATTAAGGAAAATTCAGAAAATGGGGGACTTTCTAAAAAAGGAGAATGTCCAAAAAATCAGGGGAAAAATCAGAAATTTTGGGATAAGTTAGGGAGAGATATTTCAGGAAATTAGGAATAATTGGAAAAAAAAAATTAATTCACTTTTTTGATAATTCAATGTGCATTGGAAAGTGCCAAAGTGGGGCAATGTAGCAATGTATGTTTCAGTGTTAGAAAAGTCTCCCACCATGTTTTGGTGAGTGTCAGGGCACAGCCCCTCACTATTCCACAATCCCGCATGCATGCAGACCCATGGGAAAGTTCTGGGCAAGTTACTCACCCAGAAACCATCACAGCCACAACTGTGGGAACTTTCTGGGTGAGCAGCTCGTTCCCACGGGGGGGGTGCCATTTATGGAAAGTCAACAAAGAGCTGAAAACTGTATAGTTCCTGGCTCCCATTTGTAGAGGAGGTTGAGAAGGTTTAGCCCCCTCAGTGAGTTTGAGGATCTCGGACTGGGACTAGATACCCCAGCGACTAGGAGGATCCCCCTGGGCCCATCACAGAACAAGGGCTGGGCCCTGACAGTGAGCCAAATAACCATGGCTTTTTGACCATGGGAAATTTGGTGTCAAAGGCTTGGATGATATCTGAAGAATACATCAGCTTTTTGTTTGCTTTATTGGGTGGTATTTTCAATTTACTTCATTTGGAACACTTTGTTAAAACTGATTTATACCCACATAACATGCATGGTTACATTGCCACACTTTGGTGCTTTCCAATTCACATAGAATCATCAAAATTGGTTGAGTTTTGAGCAAGAAATGAGATGAAAGATAAAGTGCAAATTTTTGAATTTCAGAGTTTTCCTCATATTTTGTAAATAGCAATAAACAAATAAGGTGCTGATTTTAGTAAACACAAAAGGTATATGAGCTCTATGAGCCCACTGAGTTCATAGAGTTCATAGAGCTCATAGAGCTTTCAGAGCAATGACAATGGCCATTTTACACACATATATATCCATATTATCTTTGCACTACTGGTGCCAAAATAACTAAGCAGATTTCATGGAGATATGAAGACCATCCATGATTTAAAAACAAAAAGCTCTATGAGCTCTATGAGCTCACTGAGCTCATAGAGCTCATAGAGTGTTTCAAGTAATGATGCTGGCCATTTAATATGCATTTCCAAAAATGTATATACATATTATCTTTGCACTTCTGCATCCTTAGGAGAATAAAATCATTCAAACATTTAATTTTCTCCACCCAATGTGTAGAGGGTGCACAGCAAAAAGACTCAATTTGCTCACAGAGCTCTGAGAGCTCTGAGAGCTCCAAGAGCTCCCTACCAAGTTTGCTGATGCACAGACTGTGTGAACTCACTGAAAACCTCCAGATCGGGGTGACTTCAACATTGTTGAAAGTGCAATCAACCGCATGCCCCAGCATGAAGATGCCAATGCAGGTGTGGAAGCCCTCAAGGAACTCCTCTGCCTCCACTACCTGGAAGACAGATGGTGCAGAACAAATCCCCCCCCTGGAAAGGAACTACACCTTCGGACATATGACCAGAACCCACATGTTGTGGACCAACAGAACCTACACCACAAGCAAGCTAATGAACAGAGCCCACACCTGGGACATCCAGAACACCTGGATAGACGACATCTCCACTCCAAACCCCACCGGGACCCAAGACATCTTCCTCAAATTCATGCAAGCCACAATAACTTTTGCATGCAAGCTTGCAAAAATCAAAGCAGGCAAACTAAACTCAATGCTCAGCTGTCTCGAAAAGTGCAGAGACAAAGCCATGAGAAAACTGAGCTCCCCCCAATCAGCATGCCATCTGGAGGAAACCCAATACCAGGTATCGGCCTTAACAGTAAGAATCAATGAGATCGAGAAAACCCATCATAGGAACAACAAGATCACAGCTAGTACCAACAAACACCTATTCACTGAATTGATCAACAAGTACTGGTGCAGGTGGGGCAAAGACAAAAAGCCACGTGACACAATCAATGAACTACAAATCCCCTGCACCAATGTTACAGGAATGGGTTCCAGGGAACCCAACCTGAACGTTCAGCTCACTAACAGAGGTGGCTGCATAACCATTGGAGGGAGAGTGGAATGGGATGAGTGTCTGGAAGTACAACCTGTGGGTTGGCCAATGGTAACTTGGTGCTCCTGGGAATGTACCGGTAGCAAGTATAACATGGGCTCCTTGAGAGAGCCACCTGGCTGTCCGCTAATGGGGACTTGGCACTCCTGGGAGCGTGCTGGTAGTGGGTGTGCTGGGAGTGGTCAGCTAGCAGTGACTTGGCACTCAATGGAGCGTACCAGTAGTGTGGGATACTGGGACTCCCAAAGGGAGTCACCCAGTTGGTGGCTATTGGCGACTTGGCGCTCATGGGAGCATACTGGTAGCGGGAGTTGTTGGGGAAAGCGGGCTGGTGGACCAGTGCACGGTAGTGGGTGACCGTGGGAAGTGGGACCCATGGGTGCGTGGCCAGGCATCCTGGAGCTGCCTGGACCATATCCCTCTCCTAAGGAGGTGGGATAGGCTACAGTTCCTGATAGGGAACTACTGGTTGGATGGGAGTGGGCAGCAGGAGGTTGGGCATGGGAATGCCCTCCTCATTGCAGTTTTGTCATGGAAAGGATGAATAGGGAGGTGGACATGGTTCCAGGGTTACAGGTTGAATTTACAGTGGTGGCACAATGGTGTGAGGGTTATGTATTTGATAATCCAAAACATCTTTTGGCATCTGCCTTACATGTCATATGACTTTCAACTATCTAATACAAAAGTTATAAATGGTCAAAGGAAATCCCTTGAAACTTAACAAATCCCCCAGCCAGCACCAAAACCCAGTGGGAAAGCTTGACATGGGGTTTTACAGTGAA